CCCTTCCCTCTCGAAGGAATAGTTTCCTATTCCACTGATCAACAGCATGCCACCTTGCATTGGCATATGGAGATCTGCAAGAATTCCCTATCGAATTATTCGACCTAAGAAATTCAGTCAATTGACTGAATGGATTGATGGTCACATCCATTCGTACAAATATCGCTTCACTACGAGCCTAAGAATTAATAAATTTACGAATTTCATAGCCATCTACCTCTCGTGGAATGTGTTCATACTCAAAGAACTACAGTTATTACGGGGCTTTTCTACCAATTGCATGCGTACTTTAGTTGGTGGTCCGCAATTAGAAAGTCATTGATACGGGAGTGCATTAATAGATTCAAGTTGTTGAGAAGAATTAGAAGATCCATCCCGCAGTTCCTCAAAATTGTCCCCCAGAAAAATATCTCCCCGTCTGCTTTTGAAATCATCATCATCATGTCACCAGAATTGTGTCATCTACTTGTAGATGCCACCAATTTTTTGTTTACACTTTTAATATCCATTGTCTGAGTTATCAAGGGCATCATTACGACCAACCGTTGTTATTGAGTATTACTGTGTAGTACTTTAAAACACGAATGCGAACTAGTAAATCATCATGCTCACACTGGAAGTTATAGAGTGATGTATTTTGGTTTGTTATAAATTTACTTTAGGTGTAGTGGTGTAAAATTGACCTTAACCGTTAATCATATATCTATGGCCGTCTACTTTTGCGTATATGGGGTGTGCGATAGACTTACCTCCACGTGGTGCACCCTGGGCAACGTATATTCATACGGCAAAAAAGTCTATTGACTGGCAGTTGACTTCTCACTTCAAACTACCATCACCCCACTCTATGCCATATTCGACTATTTCCACAGTACTCACCTCACCTTTGTTCTACCTTTGTGTTTGTCTCTTACATCTTTGAAACACTCTTCTGTTCCCCCCCCCTCTCGATTTTTTTCAATTTGATGTTCCTTCCCCTCTGTGAAGCCTGAAGTCAACTAAAGGGCTAATGATACCATCAAGACGCCTGGCATTTGATATAAGTAAACTTTTGCGTATATAGTCACTAAATCAACACGAATACGAGTTAAATTAGGTGCGGATTGGGGTGTGGTTTGCATTCTGAGTTATTTAACTTCATAATAACAAAAACGCCTTGTTTCTTGGTCTAGGTAGGTAGGCTAAAAATGTTTTCATCTTCACAGGAAAATGCCCCTTGTAGTTTTTGAGCAAAATGAATTTTTGGCCCTAATTTCTGTTTTTTTTAATTCAACTACACAACACTGCTTTCCTCGTGAGTGGATAGCATAATTAGCTGAATTACTGCTGTGCTTGGTCGCATTCTCGCATTCNCCCACCCACACCTCCCCCCCCCATCCCCTCGAAAGTGCTTTCATCGAGCGAAAACAGAAAGCCTACACTGGTATTTGATCGAATTATGCGCGTAAAATGGAAAGAAGACGGCCAGAACAAATATCCCACACTAAGGCCAAAAATAAACAACCTGTAGGATGACATTTGGGTAGCGAGGGCGAGAGAGAGAGGCAGAGAGTGCAATTGGCATGAAGAGGCTTTTTTTGATTCCATCTCTAATTTTATATGTTAGATACCAGCTGGTAGTTTGGCATTAGGAATAGGAATTTCTGCTGATATTTCAGCGTCGTCTTAAAGCACCTTAGCAGCCTATGTAGCGCGACATTTCTAATTGCATGGAATGGAATGATTGATTATCGCAAAGTCAGCAAATATTTAGAATGCTCTTAATGGCGTAATTTTTTAAATATAATCTTTTTATTTCCCAGACTAAAAGGTACCTGATGAGTCAATACAGGAAATCCACTTCGATAATCATCTCTGGTGAAGTAAAAAGGATTGGCATAATTTTGAAATGTATATCGACTTGAATTATTCAATGTTAAGAAGCTTTAATATGACCTGAAAATGTCAGATTGCATACTGACAGATGCCCAAAAATACCTTAAATCGAATGAAACCTGCCCATACTTATATATATTCTCCCTGCGAAGCCAATTCTTATTTTCGGAGGTATGGCCCATTTTAATACTAATTAGTCATCAATATGGAAACTTTTTAAAACCGAAAATATTCCCTTTAGATGTTACTTAATGCATTCAGTAGTAATAAGATAAACACAAATATTTCATTTCAATCAAATTCAATGTTGAAGATCAGGGGTGTGCAATAGACTTACCTCCACGTGGTGCACCCTGGGCAACGTATACTCATACGATAAAAATGTCTATAAAGTGACAGTTGACTTCTCACTTTAAACTATCATCACACCACTGTATGTCATATTCGACTGCTTCCCCAGTACCTACCTCACCTTTTTATCTACCATTGTGTCTGTCTCTTTTACATCTTTGAAACACTCTTCTGTTCCCCCCCCCTCTCGATTTTTTTCAATTTGATGTTCCTTCCCCTCTGTGAAGCCTGAAGTCAACTAAAGGGCTAATGATACCATCAAGACGCCTGGCATTTGATATAAGTAAACTTTTGCGTATATAGTCACTAAATCAACACGAATACGAGTTAAATTAGGTGCGGATTGGGGTGTGGTTTGCATTCTGAGTTATTTAACTTCATAATAACAAAAACGCCTTGTTTCTTGGTCTAGGTAGGTAGGCTAAAAATGTTTTCATCTTCACAGGAAAATGCCCCTTGTAGTTTTTGAGCAAAATGAATTTTTGGCCCTAATTTCTGTTTTTTTTAATTCAACTACACAACACTGCTTTCCTCGTGAGTGGATAGCATAATTAGCTGAATTACTGCTGTGCTTGGTCGCATTCTCGCATTCACGTCTCCAAGACTATCATATGCTTAAGGTCACAAATTGAGTTCAACGTTAAATACAGGCATTTAAAACTCGATTTGGTGCGTTTAAGCGTCATTATCGCAAATCTAACTGAACTATGTCTATTCTACTCCAAATACTACCCATTTTCTTACGGCTCAACTATAATTTCTTTCTAACTTGTCAGGTGATGGAGCGACTTATACTTTATGGAGGTTTAACGCTCTATTGTTAGAACGAATTTTCATATGACTAGATTGAAATCAGACAGCACGCTCCTGTTAGCCTTTTTATAAGAACAATTAACAGAGTTCTTTTAAAAGTGCTAATAAATAAAAATTTGACTTATGAGCTAATAAAGCAGGAAGTGGATGCCTTTATTCAACCTTCACCTGCGTAAACGAAGAGGTAAATCGTTTGTGGACACATTCTAGAGGACATGATAGTGAATTGCCTGCGCTATTCTATTTGCACCTTAAGATAATCATATTTTATAAGTAGAATGCAATAAGTAGGCCACTCGGTAGAACTATGTGCCACATTGCAAAGTAGCATGTCATCCAAGGGCCTTAATCTCACAGTCTTTAGTCCCAGCCAAATGGACCAATTCGTTCGTTTGTGCGAGAATATAAACAACACATGCTGTTTAACCTCCAGACGCACAAGGCTGAACTCACTGAAATGAGGCCGCACACATATTTGCCTAACAAAATAACAAGACTCGAGGCTCTCATATATAAGTTGTTTGTCTTAAATAGGGAGACAAGTAGAGGTTTATAGCCTCTCGCCATGCGTAAAAAACGTCCAAGAGAATACTTGTGGAATCGATGTGGGAATCATGAAGCTCGATGCAACATACTTCATCTGTGCTTCACAGTCATTAGGTTAAGTGCATTCGAAATATAGCCTTCTTCCAGTCTTGTCCTCTCTGTTAACCGTCCTCCTCTTCATACGAAAAAGAACTTGATTGTGAATTTTCACTCAATATCTCAGCCCGAACTCATCTCCTGGATAAAGGAATTTGCTAATTGATAAATCATATTCGGCTTCGGTGTAATCGACCCACCAGTGTTTACAGGTCTAACTTTCAGTTGGGAAAAAAAGTTAATGACATAGAGAATCTTGCTTCACATTTATTAAAAGTCTCATATTTAAGTTAGTTCCAAAAGTTAGCCTTATTGGTCATCGATAGTCTGGTTAACATTTTCTTGATGTACCCGCATCCAACACCTTTAAAAGTGAACAATTTTTCATCAAAGGAATCTCAAGTAGATTTTGACTTCTAGTTCATTTTCCAATGAACACTTGCTCATTATTCAATAACCAACGTAAAAAACATGCTTTGCCTAGAATCCTGCTATCTCGAGTAGAGCTCTGAAAGGCTTTTAATGTACTATTATCAACCCAAACCTAGACAATTAAAGGTAAACAACGCAAAACCCGTTTGACAAATCGTTCTGATACCTCCGCTATATTGCCTGGTTTGTGTCAAATTAAAAGAACTAAACTATTTAGTGCCCATTTGTAAAATTTTTATTTTGCAAATCCCTATACCAGGCCTAATTAACACTTCACAGTGAGGATTAAATCCGTTGTGAACTCAAGATCCCCTTGGCACGCCCTGGAATTTTTAAATTTAAAAAGACGGAAAACATCGAGGTGCGACCGAAAGAACCTTGTGCTCGGAATAAAGCTAGGGAAATCATGCTCGCACCACCGACTGCAAATCGAGAGCGTGCATTGGCAACCTGATCGGACAATGATCCATATTAGCTCGAAGCAATGTAGCGCTGATTTAAATTAATGCGAATACCCACCACTGCAACAACCTGACTTTGCTACCTACCTCCCACGAGCCAGCATCTTTTGGACATAACCTTGCTAACCTCGGTCAAAAAACAAGAGGACTGCAAAAAACTGATCAGTGGCTTGTAGAACATCTGAGAACAGTACGATTGAACGGCATCTAGGACTAGATTCAGTAGCCAGTATTCAAAGCTCAAATGTAGTAAGAAGCAAATATGACGCACTATCCAAGCAAGCCAAAATTGCATAAATAACCAGATCAAATGCTAACTAACAGAATCAAAATACTCTATATAATTACCGAGTAATATACAAAGTTTAAAAAACATACAAGATAACCCATAATTTTATTACGAAAAGTATTTTCAAGACAGAAGTATTAGTCCGTCTTCTTAGTTGCAGCAACACGGCACTCGGTAACCTTGATCTCACCCATTGAGGATACGACAGTAACCTAGAGACAGTTTCATCAAAGAAGGAGAAGAAAACTCACCAAAAGTTCTTCCTTTTCCTGAAGGTTTTCATACTTTTCCCGAAGGGTGGGCAGCAGATCACCGCCAGTTATATCAGAACGATAGTTATTATCCGGAGGCAAAAGATGAAGGAAGCCTTCGTCATCAATATGAAGAACAGAGCATTCCATTCTTTCAATAACGGGAGCATAGACAGTATGACTGGAAGGGTGGCAACCTTCAATACGCTTCCCGGTGAAAATATCGATACCGACGAAATTTACCTTCGCTGCTCCGTGCTTTCCAGTCTTCGATGATGAAGTATCAACAATCTTGCATGGCCTGCCCTTAATAATAACGTAGCAATTCTTTCTAATTTCGCCACAAGTCATAGGGGTGCCAGAGGCAGCACCGGCATCTCCAGTAGCAAATTCCTCATCACCCATGTTAATACGTGAAAAACTGTACAGTGCGGGGGTAATGGAGATAAAGAACTTAAATAGTAAGAAAAAATCAATTTAAAAATATTTAAAAGTGTAATGTTTTTTTAGCATTTTAAAGTTATAAATTATTAATTTGATTTTGTTGAGCAATAAATAATAGAAATCCGTCTATCTAATATTTGTTTTGCTCATACAAGATTATTTATATGCAAAATATATATGGGTAACATAAAATGCATTTAAACGTCCTTTACACCAAACTAATTATTTTCAAGGAAATAATATTATGCAATCAATTTTTAGTGCACAAATAATGTGAGGAATTTCTGATAACTGAATTCCAGATTTATACAGTAAGACATCATGCAATTTATTGCGACATTTATTAAAAATACTGACAAATGATATTAAGAATGTTTATGATTACAGGCCTTTACTGATATTTATGTTAAAAAAAGTCATTAAGTGACGTTTAAAGTTCATTAACAGATTGCCTTCATTGTTTGCTTTTCTGCATAATTTACACCCTTATGTTTTGATGAATATTTCGAAAAATTATAAATTTGTTATGTGGGGTGATGAATAAGTTCACGTTTTATATTGTTAAAAATCTTTTCATGTAATCATTTGAAATTCTTTCAAGATTAGAAGGTGAACAACTTTATGTGATATTTTGTCAAACCATATTTTGCTTATGGTTCAATTAATGACAACTGCATTTGTATTTAGTGTTTCTTATACCTTAAAATATCTCAGAATTGCCAAATAATTTTCCAGCTAATATAAATAGAGGAAGTATCAAGAGCTTTTAACACAGCTAAACGAAGAACGAAAATTGCCTTTTTTTATTTTTTACTCATATGGATCCCAGGTACCATCCATCACATTTTGAATGAAACTACCAATTATTAAGCAAAGTATAAATACTGCAGTTAAATTTTGAGTGCTTACGAGTAAGTGCGTGCATTCAAAATAATAAACCATTGATATAAGGACAGAATTAAGTTGCGAATGATTAAATGTGATTAGCATATTTACTTCAACTTAAGTTGTTGCCGAACGAGCAAATTGACTTACTCTTTTTACGTGACCCAAAGTGGGGTGTGCGATAGACTTACCTCCACGTAGTGCACCCTGGGCAACGTATACTCATGCGGCAAAAAAGTCTATAAACCGGCAGTTGACTCCTGACTTCAAACTCTCATGGCCTACCGCAAGTCATATTCGATGCCTTCCATGGTACTCACCTTTACTTTTTCTCAACCTTTGTGTCTGTCTATCACTTTTACATCTGTGAATCGCTCTTCTGTTCCCCACCCCTCGACTTTTTGCTACTTTGAACCTTCCCTCTGTGAAGCCCGAAGTCAGCTAAATGGCTAATGATAGTTATCAAAACGCCTGCCATTTGAAATAAATAAATAAACGTGACCCAAAGTCATAGCCATATC